AAAAAATATAGTTAATTTTAATAAATATTTAGTTCAATACTGACAACTAAACATTTATTTAATATTAATTTATTAAGTAAGTTAATAAATTAATTTAGTAAGTAAATATTTGTTCGATAAAAAAAAATGATTGTTAAATCAAATTAACATTTCTTGTATCAAATAAATATATCTTTATATTTAATAAATATTTAGTTGGCAGTATTCAACTAAATATTTATTAAAATTGACTATATTTTTTTTCAGTGTAGAAAAAAATAGAAGAGTTAGCTGAACCGCGCGGAGATTAAAATTAAACTACATTAGTAGAAATGGGTATTAATGTCGTGCGTTTAAGTTCAATAAACGAAAGGCAACTTTATATAACTTTATATAAGCCATACGAATTGCAGCGTCAATGTCGCATCCTTTTACTTTTCCGTCCTTTTATTTTCAATGGAGCATATTTCTCAAATCTTTTTCTCATATCGACTTTCCTCCTTTAAGACTTACATTACTCACTCTAACTTAAGTTCCCCGAACGAATTAGCGCTTAAATTGCTCCAGAAAGCGACTAAATGTTTAGCGACCTAATCCCGACGAATCTATCTCAGCCATGCAATTGAATCACCGAGAATATGAATGGTGGGAGAGATCTTGTGTTATTTATCTCATGATCGATCCGTTTGCCGGATCTTTCGTGATCTTAGACCGCCAAATTCTTCTTTCATGGATTTTCCTCAACAGATGTTACGTTTCGATTTTCAACAAGTTTTAAATCGTGTGTTACGGAAGCCTCGGTGCCGGTATGTATATCTCTCCGATATACATACATATATGCGAGTTCATATACATATTCTCGGGTAGCATTCCGAGGATTTGAAGCTAAATCGTCCGCTTACAGACGCAGGAAGTAGAAGGAGAGGGAAACGTAGCCGTTAGCAAAGAGCGGCGCCCACTCGATGCTCGAACCTGTTGCTGCTGTCGTTGCTGTAAACACCTACGTGTCGACGGTATACACGCGTGTGCGTCGTGCATGCGTGCGTGCGTGCGTGCGTGCATACGTGTCCCCTGTGGGGCACAGTGCGTAGGTATACACGTGCGGACAGGCGCGACACCCAAGTACAACGTATCGTAGATACGTACGTTCGCACGTGGGCTGAGAGTACGTGCGCAAGAACAACACGGTGGGGATGACGATGATGTCGTCGAGGAGAGAAAACTGCTCCTTGCATATCGGACGAGAATCACGCGGTACCATAAAATCGCTCTTGAAAAACAAACTTCCCTTTTTATTATATTCTCATCTCCCCCTCCCCCCCCCTTTTCTCTCTCTCCCTCTCTCTCAATTGTTAACAAGTAGTCGTAGATTAGTACAACAATCATATGCCTACTACCTGTGCTCCTCTAACAATAAACATAGAAATGAAAAGAGCAGAAAAATACAATTGAAGACATATCCGGTGTAGCCGAAAATGCCATTTTCAACACAATTGAAGAATAGGGTTTTTCTTAAGAAGATTTATGCCAAGAAGAATATCCGTTTCTTCATAAAATTTCTTTGAATATTTCATTTTTCGAAAAAACGTGTTAAAGAAAAATTTAATACAAGTGGGATTTGTTAATTTTTCATATTACTGATTTAAGTAAATAATTCAATCAAAGAGAGTAATCCTTTTCCGTAGTAGATCGCTCCATTCATGATCTACACGTGTGCTTATTACGATTATCTCTTTGGACAATTAGTAGATACGCATCGAGTAGAACGATTAATTATCCTGAGATATATATGGAGCAGTCAGTGCCATTATGCTTTCGATCGCACGGCAAGATTTCCAGGCTTAGAGACATCCGGTACGACTATATGGAACGATGAGCGAGAGATCTTTCTTTTTACTAACGCCATCCATCCATCCATCCATCCATCCATCCATCCATCCATCCATCCATCCGACCAGATTCCCTGCGTCGTTGTGCGTCTCTTGCCTCTCTTTTCTTCTTTTCTCTCTTTCTCTTTTTTTTTGTTCCACATCTCGTTTCTCGTCTCGCGCGGCCCTTCTCCTCCGATGTCGCTGATGCCTAGCGGCTCCTCCTCCTCTTCTTCCTCCTCTTCCGCCTCTTCCTCCTTCTCCTTCTCCTCCTCCTCCTCCTTCTCCTTCTTTGCCTTCGTATAGTATGTCCATCCCAAGTGCCAGGTGTCATTTTCATTGCGGCCGTGCGAGAAGCGAGAGACGCGTGAGAACTTCCGGATGGTTTACGGCGCCCTTCCGGTCCTTCTATTATCCCATTTTAGTTTACCACCGTTCTCCGTGTGTGTACGCGTGTGTACGTGCGTGAATCCCGCTGCTCGCTGCTGCTATATCAGCTTCAAAAACTTCCTTCACCTTTCGTTCCGCTTCACCTTTTCTTTCGCTCGTAGAGAGCCGACGGAAGTGGGATAAAGAGATGCGTAGGGAAGGCCGCGCGGGAAGGATAATGCGGACAAATACGATTAACAATCGGAAGCGTTTGAAATCGGGATATAATGCCGTGAGATGGATGAGCGCAATTTAAAAACATCCTTGACGGATGTCAGTCTTCAGTAATTGTAAATTATTTATGTGTATATACTGCGCATATCACTAAATAAATTTTTTGTTTAATTGGATGAATAATGGTATTAAATCATAAATTTATATTATGTGTATATAGTAATATACAAATTTATGAAAAACATCAATTATGTAAGATAAGGTGATACTATTCTAAAAAATAAAGTTTGAATCCAATTTTCCAAGTACACACGGAGAGAATTTTTTTTTAATTTATCCTGAAAATATGGTAGTTGTGATACAATAGAATATTTTAAAGATTTTTACACATGCACTTCGGTAAAATTAATCAAACTTATTTTATACTTTATTGTAGTTTTATTAATGAATGAGAGATTTATATTAAAATTCTTCGAAATATTAATCCCATAGCTATCTAAGAAAAAATTCTCTTCGTGTATGATAACCGTCTCATTGTGTGGAGAATTCTGAAAGATATTAAAAGGAAAAAATCAAACTTGAAAATTCAATTCAAACCTCATTTCGTTCAGATTTATATTCATTTTACTCTATATAGAAAGTCAGTTTTGTCTTAAAAATTTTTTTAAATTATCTTAAAAATACTTTTTATAATTTGTTAGCTAAAGAATTTTTCTGTAAATTTTTAAATAATTAATAATTCAATTTGTTAGCTATGTTGCGGGAACTCCAAGCAATATCGTAAGCAAATAAAAGATTATTCGGAAGCTGGTAGGCAAGAATTTTAGACATATAAATGCGAACGGATGTCTAAAGGAATGGAATGAAAAAGAGGATTTTCCTTATAAAAAGCTATTCGTTCGATCCATTGTGCCGTGACGAATGATCGTAGTAAGTAGTATAATAGTAATGGTAGTAGTAGTAATAGTAGAAACTACATCTGAGGGAGCGACAAAAAGACAAACGAGATGAACGGATGGTCATAGCAAAAAGTCGAATGCTCACAGTCGGCGGTAAAACGGCGGAAGACCATTTCCTCGAATGTTTCTTCGCTGAATGGCTACGTTGCTTCAACTACTTCGACTCACGCACTATCGAGGTGCACCTCGATAAATGCGTATCGCGTTAACAGAAATCACGAGCGTGATCGCTCGAAGACCGTTTTTTAAATCGTTTTTGTACTCGTAAATCCATAACGTAATACAAGATCGGAAAGAAGGGAAGTAGATTAATTTCTGCTTCAGCAAACGACGAAATTTGATATTACAAATTCACTCGTGACGAGCAAAGAGTTTCGTTAGTTATAAAAACTGTTAAAAAAAGACAGAATATGAGATATAAGAAGAGCAAGATTGTGAAGTAATTGAAAATTTAGTGCAAAAAACCTAAACGATATTCTCAGCAGATATTTCGAGATTATGATCGCCTTACGGTAGTACGGCATCGCCGATGACGATAGGCCGGACAGGACGTACGCGATTGCCTCAATGAATGGACTGGCAACATCTAAATAGTCCAGTTATAGCAGACTTTGTATTGCCGGCAGAAAGAGCGGATATACTTCAGTTACGAATCTTGTGCGCAATCGTCCCGTTTATTTCATTAAGCACCATAGTCCCATAACGCAACACGACACACGTTCAGACGTTTATTATTACGCAACGGTACAATCGCCGTGCGATCATAATCGTCCTACTAATAATTCCGTTATCATACCGGAGAAATAAACAGGTCTCCAGATGTTTATTTATTAATAACGTCGAGATTTTCTGTGCAATATCGGTCAGCTGCTCGATTCAATTGCAATTTGATTCGGTGTATTTGCGCTCGTGTTCACCATCGACACGAAATAAACAAAGTGATAAAATCGCCATTCCGGAAGGGATCGGAGAGACAATTGAATTTCTGCGAAAGAAAGGCGAACGAGTGTCAATCGCTTTATTAATGACGCGGGTGCTTGTTTGCGCAGAACAGCGAGAAGGAGTTACCGGAGTGTGCAGACCGTAGCGAGGTATGTAGCAAGGTGGATTTATATGGTGCACCATGGGTCGAGAGACAATGTCGTTGCCCGAATGGCCGTGCCTGCCCCAGCAGTCTTCATGGAGACGACGGACATACGATCGTCGATAAAACGCGCCGCTATAAGCTCTGCGAGCCCGTGAAACGACTTCCCATCTGTCATTACTTCAAGTTAGTTAGATCACGACACGCATTCTCCGCGATTCCCGCTCGAATTCAATCCATTCCACGTTGCATTCTTGGATCTTACAATTAGCTTCGTTCACGTTAAACTCTATTACTGTATAAAAGTCGGATGAAATTGTTCTAATCTCTAAATTCTTCGAAGTGGAATCTTACTCTAAAGATTGAAAATTGAGCCAGTCTTTTTCAAACACACACACACACACACACACACACACACACACACACACACACACACACACACACACACACACACACACCCACACACACACACACACACACACACACACACACACACACACACACACACACACACACACACACACACACACACAATCGGTTCTTATATTTAAATCATCTTAAGTATAATCTTAAGATGTCATGAATCAATCAGACTATATTAGTAAAAGATATTACTTAAGATAGTCTTAAATTAAGAACAGACTATGAATATCACCTTGTGAATGAGATTTCACTTCTTAAAATGCAATTCACTGTAAAAGTTTTAGAGAGTATAATTTTTCTGTAAATTTTTCTGAATAAATGTTTCTTCTCAAAACGCGTTAAACCGTGTAAAAAGAAAATCGCTGTTGAATCCGATTACTCATTCACGGAATAGATAATGGTACTAAATTGTAAGTTCGCATTCAGATATCCTAACTTTTTACCACAGAGACATTACGTGGACATTGGCACCCGGAGGTGGCCCAGCGAATGCAACAGTGCAACGTGTCTATTGTCGATGTCGGCCAAATAGCGTGCCATACTTAGTGCGTAGACAACCTCACAAATCGCTGAATGGAAATCATGGCTTCGTCTACGCCTTCGCCTGTTCTCCGCAAAGCGTAAGTCAATGATGTAGAAATAAAGAAAAACACGGGACTTTATCTCAAAATTTTCAAAGAGCTTCATTAAAATCGATATATATTTATCGGTATCCCTATATTTTACCGCGCACTTGAACTGCAAGGAGAAAAATGTAAAGTAATATGTGCTACACTGAAAAAAAATATAGTCAATTTCAATTTAGTTGAATACTGCCAACTATTAATATTTATTAAATATAAAGATATATTTATTTGATACAAGAAATGTTGATTTGATTTAACATCTTTTTTTACTGTAAATATTTGTTCAGTAAAAAAAATGTTACTGTAAGTAAATGTTAGTTGGCAGTATTGAACTAAATATTTATTAAAATTAACTATATTTTTTCTCAGTGTAGGATTCCAGTAAACTTTATGGAATTGATAAGTCGATTTATATAAGAACAGGCGCCCATTTATGTAAAATTTACTTTAATTTTTGTCAAAAAATAAAATAATAAATCATCAAATAAATAATCAATCATCGTATAGCCATGAAAAGTTTTCACATTTTGTAAAGTAAATTTTGCTATTGCAATTTGTGACTATTTTTTACTCTATAAATTGCTATACAATTCAATAATAAAATTTACTTTATTAACGAGTATTTTTTGCTTTGGCAAAATTTATTGCGCAGTAAAAAAATACAAGTGTATGAAATCTTGAAAATTGTCGTGCTTCTATTCTTGTAGTAAAGAAAAGTAGTCTCATTTACTTTACGTAAGTAATCATTTGAATGGATTGACTACAATCGTAATATACGTTTTATTTCGCTCCGGTATTTTTTATTTTCAGGCAAGTAAAAAATTGTCACAAGTCCGTAAAAATAGCAAGAATACTTTTATTAGACTTGTAAGATTATTCATTTTTCTCCGTGAAAGATAGAAGCATTGAAAGCGCTTAGATCAAACGCAGTCCAAGTCCCGAAACACAATAGATGTAGTAAGCCTTAAAGAATTAATCACAGTCGAATGTGAGAAGAATACTCGACTTTGATTGGTCAATTTCTTAAGGCTTAAGGCTTACACCTTATTATTATATCTATTATGTTTCGGTATTAAGATTTCCTCCTTTCGTGGCGCAATGCTGACAAAAAGTCTTCGCGCGCAATTAATTTGCTGTTTATCTTGCAGAAAATACGATGTCAGCATAAGGAGCCCTGCCGCCTGTTCACCGTTCGCAAAAGACGCAACTCGCAGCTCGAGGAGGTGAACGCCTCGCCTCTCTGTCAGTGTCCTCGTGGACACCGATGCCCGCGAAGGCACACGGATCCCGGTTCTACACCGGCACGATCTTACGCCGGTGTTCTGGAGATCAAGACTTATAGCGGCTACTGCGTGCCGTATCATGGCTACGAAAAAATGACCTACGGCATTTGAGAGAGGCCACTAGAAACGACCTCTCACTGCAGCGACGGATTCAGGATGTCTGCCAAACAAAAATCCAAGATTCAATGAACTACTATATACCTTTATCAAACATGTCCCCATAAAAAGAAAGACGATTAGTTCTCATACCACAGTGGGTTAGGTCTATCTTTTCAAGCGCACAACAATTGGCCATTTGGTACCTGCCGATTGTCGAAACGTTGCCATAAAATCCCAGAGGCGGCTTCCAATTCCCGATCGTAGTGACGAGCACGTTCGGATGATCTTTCGAGGAGAGCTCATCCGAACGTTCTCCCTTTAATAATTCTTTTCCTCTTTTTCTTTCCTTATTTCTTTTCGAAAGAAACGTGGTACTCGACGCTCTTGATCCGCTCCGTAGACAGGAAGTGTCGCGTAGGAATCACGAACAACGGGAAATTAACATACGTGTCGATCGGTCGGCTGTACCAGCCATGTGATGCCGTGCCATGTACAATCCTCAGCGGCGTTGGCGAATGTTAAGTGTAAAAAGTAATGTACAGAAGAATATATAGAGATAAGAGAATCATGCCCGCCTACAGTTTTGTACAGTACGTTTCGAAACGATCGTCTCGTATTCCCGTAATGTAACACGGGCCTCAGTTATCATGCCCCTCGATCGTAGCAACGGTGAGTCTTTTCTTTCTTAGTGCTACCGTTTTTTTATGCCGCTTTCGCTAGAATATTGCAGACGTTGCAGCTCATCACAATCGTTTTAAATTTGTATATATTCATCTCTGGTCTTCCGAAAGTGTCTCATTCGGGGAGTATATTGTATATGATAGCATCGCAAAACTATTTGGAAGAGACTCTCTCGATGTTATTTGTTACTTTTACTTTAACTTAATAAAAAATATATATAAATATATATATA